AAAAACTTAAAAAGTTTTTTAGAGTTAAAATGTTTTTAAAAATTGGTTAAACTATAGTTAACGATTTAAACCAAATTTTTGTATTGAATAAATCATCATTACAATGTGTTATAATCCAGTTTTAAAGAACAACAATTGAACAGTAAATAACATATGAAATGGTAAAATGCAAAGTTTTTAAAATTAAATAACAATATTCACTCATTATAATTGTTGTATATACAGAAAATATTTACAACCAATAAAAATTATAAGAAATCATTTTATTGATTTTAATTTAAAATTTTTATTAAAACAATTAATATACTTTTTCAACATACACATTATTTTTATTGATTATGTACAAATGTATATTTGTCAGTTTAACAAAGGTTTTGAATCGTTCAATCGTGTCCTTTTTTAAATTAGAGTATTAATTAATCAATCAAATAGAAGTATTTTCATTATCTTTTGCAATAATACAAAACAAAAAATGTATTATTTTTTCGAATGGAGTGAATCATATTACGTTCAAAACAGTAAAACTTAATTTTAGTTCGTTTCTTGATAAAAACGATTATTCATAATACAATAATAATCAGTCAAAATAATTATTATCACCCAAATTAAAAAACTATTATGAGAGTAACTTTGAATAAGTTTTATTTGCATGTATATTTTACAATTGAAAGGTTTTAGTGTACACTTATATCAACACAAAGATATAAGTATATTGTTGTATTCTAAAGTAATTTGAAAACAATTCGTGTTTGATATGAATTATCGTTTTATTTTTTTCATTTTATCATATAGTATAAATAATTGTGTTTTGTCATGTTCATTTTGTTTTTTAAAAATGATAATGTTATTTACCATTTTATTTTTTTTCAAGTTTTTTCCAATAACATGATCGTTTGGCCGACCCTGGTTATTGTAATTTACCAATTTTTGCTTTTGGCCACTTTTTAAGTTTTGAATGTATAAATCAATTTTTTATTTTTTCTATAAATATTTTTATTTTTTATGTTTTATAAATTATTGGTTGAATTGTTATTACATATTTATAATACAATAAATAACTATATAATATAAAAAATGTTTTTTTTAGTATTAATAGAGTTCAATAAATCGGCGAGTTGAATCATTTTAATTTTAATTGTAATTATAAAATAAATTTATAAATAAATATTATAAAAACACTAAAGCTTCAATCTCTATTACATACAAATGAATCATATTGATGCTTACCATATAATGATTGTTTCTCAATACTTTGAGAGTGTAAATGATTATATAACACTTGAAATGGTCTGTAAAAAGTATCAAAACAATATGGCAAAATTCCATTTCAATCCAATACCACTAACTAGAAAGACAATGAAATACTTTCCAAATATAGAAACTCTTAACATTTGGTCTGTCAATGATGAGTTTTTTGGTCATCACATATTTCTTCAAAATAATGAATATGATGACTTCGTTACTCAAGAAAAATACGACTTTTATCAAATCAACATATGGGTCCAAGTTAATTATCAGTTTTTTCGCTTTTTTAATGGAACTAACAATTTTTCCTTCAAAAATGTTGTTTACGATACAAGTAACAGATATTTCTATGGAAATATTATTCCCACCAACATCAGAAGCTTAGGCGACGAATGTTATGCTCGTTCGAACATCCCAACACTCACAATTCCCCAAACCGTTACTTCTTTTGGTAACAACTGTTTTTACTATTGCAGCTATTTAGAGTCCATCACTTTACCTCCTCATATTAAAAAACTCCCAAAAGAATGTTTTTACTATTGCACTCAGTTGACTTCAATAACATTGCCTTTTAATTTGGAGGAAATAGGGATGTCTTGTTTTTACAAGTGTTCTTCACTTATTTCTATTGATATACCAAATGGCGTCTCTAAAATGGGTGAATATTGCTTTAATTGTTGTTATAATATCACGTCTGTTGATCTACCAGACGCTCTTTTGGAATTGCCAAATTGTTGCTTCAATGGCAATTCTCAATTGGAAAGAGTCAAATTTCCATCTCGTCTTAGAATTATAGAAAACAATTGTTTTAATAATTGTCGTTTATTAAAAACAGTTGAAATACCAAATTGCGAATTAAGTATAAACGACTACGCATTTTGTTTATGCCAAGAATTGAAAGATGTGAAAATTGGTGGTAATGTTTGCACGTTGGGAATCACATGTTTTGGATATTGTAAGTCGCTCACGTGTATTGAATTGCCAAATACTATAAGTAAAATTGGAGATGGGTGTTTTAGACAGTGTATATCTTTAAATAAAATTAATTTGCCTTCAAATCTACTGGAAATACCAGATAAATGCTTTTTCGAATGTTCAATTTTAAACACAATTGATATACCACGGAGTGTGAGTCTGCTGGGAAAGTCCGCATTTTATAACTGCAAAAGTTTGTCAAGATTAGTTGTCCCAAATAATATCCAAACTATTGGAACAATATGTTTTTGTGGATGTACTTCACTTGAGATAACAATATTAAAATCAAAGGAGTACAACCTTGATAATTGTTTTGCGAAATGTTCTAAAGTAATTCAGTTATAATTTGATTTGTATATTTTAATAAAAATATAAACATTATTAATATTTGTTAATATTGTATAGCATTACATGCTTAACAATTTTTATACTATTATTGTATATGAGAATACAATATATCAATTAAGTGTATCAATTTCTTTAAAACTTATTTAATTTGTATGATTCATTATTACAACTGTTTATTATTAACTATTTTATCTTCTTTGTTCATTTTAATTAAACATCATACAAAAATGATGTAATTTATTAATTAAAATAATTGTTCAATATATTTCATGAATACAATAATTAAAAATGAAAGTTAAAAATTTTAACATGATTAAAAACAAACTCCTATGACATGTTGCTGTGACATGAATGAAAGACTTAATGAATTACATGAACCATGGAAATGCATTTTTTGAAAGCTAACACTCACTTTCATGTACTGGATATCCCAGTACATGAAATTGGAAACGGATACGATGAAATGGTTCGGAGAGAGGACTGCTCGAATTCATGTGAGCCCACCGGAGAGTTGGGTGTTACATAATTGAATTCTTTAGGGAAAATAATGACATACAACATATTAATACCAATTGTTTTTTATAATTATCACAGGGAGGATAAAAAACCTCTTTTGTCTTTTTAACCGCTTCTTATCAATTTAATAGTATTAACTAATAACATTATAATAAAAAGTATAATACAAATTACCTCTCGACAGAAAAAGTATCCACAAAGCATATTCAGCCTTCATGGTAAACAGTAGTATACATTATATTATATTAATATTATTTGAATCTATAAAATCAAGTGGAATTAATAATGTAATTCAGTAAATCTAATAACAAAAATAATGATCTAATAACTTATACAACTGTATCAATCATTTAAGTCCAATGAAATTAATTAATGTTGAATAAACAACACCTTATTCCCATTATTTTGAATGAATCCAATCAGTTCAATTTTCCTCCTCTTCTGATGTGCTTTCGTTCAAGTCGAGTCCTATTAAACACGCGTTTTCTATAAGCGGAGACTCTTTATTTTCATTTATTATTGGTATAATTGGAGTTATTTCAAGTGTTTTCTCTGTTATAAACATTTCATGTATTATTTCTTTAGTGTTACAAACATCTTTCTGTTCTTTATTATTCTCATTCGTATTACAATTATTCAAAGAAGTCGTTGGATGCTCTTCCTTCTTCTTTTTATCATCAAATATATCACTTTGATTGGTCTTCTTTTCCTCTTCTATTTTCTCGACTTTTTGTGGTTCAAAAACTTTCTCGTTACCTTCAATTTTCTCGCACGTCGATTTCACGGGATTTGGTATTTCGCTCTCAACTATTTTTGAAGTGCCTTTTTGTTGCACTGATGTCTTCTTGACGACTTCATTTGTCATTTCTTTCTGTGGAACGTCAACTGTTTTATTACCAGCAAACCGCGAGTGAATTTCCAACGACGTTTTCGTTGGCACTTCCGTCTTCTTTTCCTTTTGAATTTCGCCTTCTCTTTCAAGGGTTTCCATCACAACTCTTTTCAATTCAGACGGCTTTAAAATTGGATCAATTTTAATTGGTTTTTTAATTATGTATAGTTTTCGAATAGTTTTATTAACATCACCGTCCATAGAAGAAGCACTTTTACTTTCACCGTTACTCCTCTCACCCATAGCGTTTGCCTTCTCCATATTCTTCACACTCTTTTTGCTCTTTAAAACGCTTTCTTTCTTCGTCATTAAATTCTTTTTAATTTCTTTGACTTCTTTCCCTTTTGCTTTGACATTCAAATTCTTCTTTTTGCTCTTTGGAGACATTGAATCTTGAGACGTCGCCTTTATCTCTCTACTTCGACTTTTCTCGTCGTTCATTTTAATATGAGGAGAAGTGTTTCCATCATTCAATTTCTCATTTCCAGATAATTCTTTCTTGTCACTCTTTTGTTGTGTAATTGCTATTTCATTCGTCATTAGAGCACTTCGCTCTTCATTTGCCCCTTCGACCTCCATCTCTTCAATTTGACTCTTCTGGACTTCGCTCATGTCGTCAATGCGTTCCCTTTCAAAGTGCGTGATACTTCGACACTTTTGAATTTTCGTACACACCGACTGAATGACACTGCGAATGTCCCCAATTTCGCAATCGAATTGCTGTAAGTGATTCACCAATTTCGTGTTAGTCTTTGCAACGACAAAATGGACACTTTTGACGTCTTTAAAAGTGTTTTTATGGAACTTCACGTCGTCCGCATCAATCACAAAGTACTTCAGTTTGTTACACGCCTCAAACGCACACGTCCCGACCTTCGCGATGTTCTTTGGAAGATAGACAAATGAGAGTTTCAAGCAATTTCTGAAACACCTCCTCTGGGATCTCCTTGACGTGTTCCGGCAATACTATTTCCTTCAGCGCACCGCACTCGTTGAAACAGTCAATTCCGATGTCACGGAGTTTGTTTGGAAGATCAATTTGCGCAAGACTGGAGCACTTGAAGAACACGCTCCTCCCCAATGAAGTGACTTCATCGTGTAGAAAGACCTTTGAAAGCGCCTCACACGTTTTAAACGTGTTGTAGCCGATCGCCTGCACCAATTTTGGTATTTCAATGCTCTCGAGTTTGCGAGCTCCAGAGAAACACGACGTCCCCAAACGCGTCAACCCTATTGGAAGTTTAATAGTAGAGAGATTAGAACAACTATCAAAGCAACTGCTCTTGATGACACGCACGTTATCAGGGACTACGAAGTCCTTCAGAGTCGTACATTTCTCAAAGGCGCTACTGGCAAGGATGTTGACTTCAGGTGGAATCCTGTTCTTTGTCTTTAAACGCTCTTTCTTACTGATTGAGAGTGACTTAAAGATGGTTTGGATGCCATTGATCTTGACAACGTCGGAATAAGACATTTCGTATTTGAAACAGAGAGTGTTAACGGAGTAACTCAATGTGTTCTCTTCGTTGTATTGTGTGTAATACATGAGGTCACTTTTCTTGTAGAAGTTGAGGGTGTGAATGTGTGGAAAGAGTTTGAAGCAGACGGGACTGTTAATTGAAATAGGATTGGAATCAAAGCGATATGAAAGGTTCCGATATCGTTTACAGACACGTTCAAGAGTGACATAGTCCTTTGAAGATGTAAAATAGTTTGCTACTATGAAAATGGTGTCGGTCGAGAGTTGACTCATCCAACTACTCATTTATAGTTGATAATTACCTTTCTCATTTTTGATAATTAAAGTATTAATATATAGTATTATTAATAGTATTATTTACATTATTATTTTTTTTTTGTCTTTTTTGGTGCCAACTAATGTTTGTAATTAATATAACTATAATATATAATACATAATAATAAAAAAGAGAAAAATAAATATAGTTTTTAATTTCATTTTTTATTAAAAAAGTTCACTTAATATATTTTTGGTTATAATTAATATAAAGTATAAATACAGTATAATATTTAAAATATTAAAAATTTTAATATTTTAAAATTTTTAATTTATAAAAAACAATTTGTTGAAGAATATCGAATCTTTTGGAACCACAATTCGATATGAATTAATGTTACAATCCTTTAATTTATTCAAAAATAGCTTTACCACAAATGTTTTTTTTGCCGCAAAAAAAACAACTTTAGTCTTTTTGTGAAAAGCAAAATTTCTGATGCATGAAAGTATTATTTGAATAAACACAAGTTCTAAGATCAAACAAAAAACACCACTTTACTAAATTTGTTTTATTAATAAAATGAATATTATAATAATAATAATTGATGAATACTTGTGGTGTGGTTTTTCCTATTATTATTGTCTATTTAATATTGGTCTATTTTTAATAAAAACATTAAGAAAATATCATTAATTATTAATGTTTCGATATTGGCTATTTAATTTTAGTTAACAAATTATCGGTGGTTTGACAAAAAAAACAAAATTTTAAAATCAAAATTTTTTATACAGTTAACAGAAAAGTGAGATACTGATAAAAAGGGGAATGCTACTCCAAAAATTAAAATTATTTGGTGTTTTTCGATTTCTTAATTATTTTTTTAAGTTTTTATTATTATTTGTAGTTAAATTAAAAATAACAATGTAATTTGGAATGAAGCGCTTCAAATGAAACAATAAATTAACCATAATTATTATTAAATTGATACAAAACAATAAACAGAGTTAGAACTAAAAACTAAAAAACAACATGGAAAAACAACAGACCAACTTTTTCTCGTTGGGAAACGAGGATGTAAGAATTTTGGCACCGATTAAACTCGGCGAAATGTTAACACTGCATTTTATTGAATAAAACAGACAACTATTTCAATCTTTTGTTGACAAAAAAACTTATAAAGAACTTAAACCTGGTTATAGTATTGAACAAATTGAAACATTTTTGATTACTTATGAAAGTTCTATGTCAATTAATACTACAAAATATTTTTCCGAAAAACCCAGAAAACTCTATGAAAGATTGAAAAATGATGTCGAGTTATTAACTAAAATGAAAGATTCCACAATACGACTACAAATTGGTTTAATTTATTCTAAATATAAATTTCATGATGAGTGCACTCACAGATCATTAGCAGTTTTATTTAATATAAACCGTGGCATAATATCCAAACAAATTTCATATTATAATAAAGAGTTGATTGATGGTAGTAATTTTATTGGAAGACATTTTTTGATAACTCCACTAAGTGAAATCGTTTTTTCATCGTTTTATAAGTTTTGTTCAACTCAGAATTTGGCAATTACACTAAAATCGTTTGAGTTGATATTGGAAAAAAAGCAATCGAATAAGGTTAAAAATGACACGTTAAGAAAATGGTTAATGGTTTATTTGAATTTAAAATACATTAATGGAATTCCTGAAGATATGGGTAGACAGCGAATTGATCCTTCAAATGTAATCACCAGTTATCTGGATCTCTCCAAATTCAACGGCATTCCAATACAGCTAGTATTCAATATCGACGAAGTCGGTTTTGAAGACTATGCTGATAGAAAGGTTGTTAAAGTGTTTGTACCTTCAAATGTAAATGTAAATAAAGTCAAATTGGTTACAATAGAGGAAGGAAACGCACAACCTTGTTATGTATGATATCTATGGCAGGAGAAGTTTATTGTCCAGGAGCGGTGTTTGGATTGAAAAATTTGCCCATTGAAATATTCAAACACAATTGTGATTTGACCTTTTATTTTTGGAAACTGGTTTTGCAACAAAAAACATCTTTACAACATGGTTTGTGGAAAAGGTTGTTCCGACCATCAACTCAATCAAAGTGAAGTATGGTTTTGATATTATCACTCCCTCCCTGGTGACTATGGATGGGTTTAGCGGGCACGATATTGAAGTATTGAGGGAAATATGCGCCAAGAATTACATCCACATCCACATGTATGTTCCTCATTCTTTGGTTTAGTTCAACCACTAGACCTATGTCTATTCGGATGCGTCAAGAAAACAAAGACAAATATCACACCACTTTTTGCCACACAAATTAGTGTAAATCAGCAACCCCGTGGTAATAGTGTTTTTTCTTTTCAAGTGATTTCCACATCAGTGAAAATGACAGATTCAAATGAGCAATGGAAGATTTGATTAAATAAATAGCCAATTTTACTAACACTTTTACTGATGCACTGAAAAAAGAAAAAAAAGAGCTAAAAACGTCTTTTATAAGAAGTACGGCAGAAATCATGAACTCTATTGATCTCTCTTCTTTTCATAAGAATGTCATTTCATCATTCGAACGAAGAGGAATGGTTTTTAGGTTTGTGGACGGTAAATGGAGGTTCTATATTGATATACAAAGTGCCGAAAATTTATTAAAGAATACAAAACTTACATCACAAATAATGTATTTATCAGAACCGAGTTGATGGCCAATTTAAATGCAACAAACAACACCAAAGAAAAGGTGTCCATAATGGAAACATCATCATGTACCGACTATCGACCAAGTGATTACTCGAAGTTATCTTATGTCAATTACTTTCTGTCTGGGATTACAGCTGATAATGTCTGTACTGTCGCTCATTTAAACATGCTTAGTTCACTGTCTGAAATGCTGTATTGTAATGTAATTAACATGGATGATGAATATCAAAGATACAAATCACTGCAACTAAATGAAACTACTATTAATTATCATGGTTTGAATTTGTCTTTGGAAGTCTCAGAAGAAGAGTTGTTGGAAATCGAAAGATATGAAAATTAACTTTATAGCTAGTTTATTTTAATTGTTTTTTACTAAAAATCCTTTTTCTGAAATAAAATGGTTTTGGTATTTTCAAATTGTAAACCTTCTATTTTGGTTTTAAAAATTAACCAATAGTTGCCAGCATTTTCCTTTTTCTAGCACTTCTGTATTTCCTCCTACTGTAATAAAAACAAAATTAAAAACGGTCACTGTGGGGGTTGAACCCACGGCCTTCTCCTCCGGAGGGAGATGCGCTTCCACTGCGCTAAGTGACCATTACTTTTATAATATTACTGATTTATTGATTATTATATACAGAGTACCGCCAAAAAATCACTGAGCGTGAAATATTACCGGGGATTGTTATTGGGCAAAAAATAATGTTATTGTTGCTTGTAAAACATAAAAAATAATTTACTTTGTAAAAATGTTATATAATATGGCTATCAATTAAAACAAGGGTTAATTCGTAAAAACGAACATTCTAAACAACTCAAACTAGATATTGGTTTTTATTTTATAGATTTTAACAATTTATAAAGTGAAATACTAAACAATACATCAAAATATAATAGCAAAAACGAATAAGTTAGGACATCGTATATTTAAATAATTAGTCCATTCTTTGGTTATCATTAAATCTATTTGATTTCTCTTCAACTAGTCGTTAATTTTTGTTGGGAATATCCAAATTATAAACTCTATTGAATAAACTTAAATTATCACTATAATCAATATGTTTTAACATAATAATCATATAAAAACACACAGAAATATCAACTCGAATTATTAAGATCGAATAAACGTTTCAACTTCGAAATTATAATAACAACACAAATTGCAATACAATAAACATAAACAAAATATAAAAACACGTTATAAACATATCATATTGATAAATTTATAAAATATAAATCAATTTGATGATAACAAACGGTTAATGAGCGTGGGGTTTTCGGATGGTCGATTATTTAATCACACCAATTTAAAATCTGAATAATTTGTTGAAACGAAAGAATTAAGTTGTTTGGGGGTTCTGGTGTATTAACCCTTTTAAAATAATGATAATTTATCATAAAATTATCCATAATTAATCGATTAGTTTAATTATATGATAATAATTATTAAAAATAGTTTCACATTCAAAAAAATAAATTATAATTTATTGTTGTTTTATTATAAATTTTTGTTATTGATATATTGATGTTAATTAAAAATACACGTTAATTAACTATTTCACTTGTTTATTGTTTATTAGATTTTAATTAAATTTATACTATAATAATAGTTCATTGTTTGATTTATTTAATGTGAATTGTGATTGTATTATTACATCATTCCATGATCAAAATAGCCAGTGATCATACAACCAACATGTCAAGTATTTATTGAACGGTTTATATATTACAGATGTTGTTATGAAATAGATAATTATATTGTTTATTCGTTTTGTTTTTAAACCATTTTTTGTGTCACAGTGTGACGGGTTAGATTCTTTCTTTGGATTTTTTACTTAAAAAATAATGACTTTCATAAAACATATACAAGACAGTGAGTAATGATTTTTCAAATAACAATACTTTAAGATAGCAACTAATTAATTCACTTTATATATCAGAATGAAATTATATTGTTAAGTGATTATTTGGTAATTAAAATTATGAGAAGGTTTTTTTATTTATAATTTTTAATCTTCACCAATAATACATTATTTTGCAAAATTTTATTGTTAAAATGTGTTCATATTTTGTCATAGATATCGACTGTTCAATAAAATTATATTTCATAAATTGATGTAACGGGTAAATAAATATCAATAATTGGTACATTTATTCAAAATTTAAAAATATCAAAACACATTTTTACTTGATAAAATAATTTTTGGATATCCGAAACTATAATTTAGAATTTGTCTTTTTGTAATAACAAAAAATTAAAAACGTTTTGTTTTTCAATTGAAAAAGGAAAAAACAAAACCCTCATAAAAAGTATATAAAAACACCATTTTTCCTCTTAGCACAATCTGTTGACTTGGCCTCAAAAGATTTTGTAGAACAAAATTGTCGTTTTTCGTTTTAACAGCCTCGAATAACAAAAAAAAGAAACCCAAAATGTTTTAAAACCCTTAATAACATTATTTTTGGCCCAATAACAATTCGCAGTAATTTTTCACGCCGCAGTGATTTTTCACGGTACTCTAATTGATCGTTTTTATAATTCATGGAACATGAAAAACTTACATGGTGCCCATCAGCGATTTGTGTGAATTATGCTAACATTACCATAATTAATCGACACACAGCGAACCACTAAGATAAAAATAACTCTTTGAATTGGTGTTAATTTGTCATTTGAAAAACAGTGAACTGAATATAACAAACCTTGCCACAATCGAAACATTTGAAATTTACAACAGCATTATCGTTTGTAATGGAAATATATAGATATTTTTCATTGCAACGAATAAAATATAAGTTGGTAAAAAGTTTATTATTTTAGTATGGTTCAAATTAAAGCACAAAATGATAAACAAAATTTTAATTTTAATTATTAAAATCTGGGTGTATTAGTTAATGTATAACATATAAAGTTAAATGATAATTAAAAGACAGTAATATATTTGTTTATATTAAAAAATTAAAAATAAAATATTTTTATTTTTGTTTTAATTAATGTTTTTTTAAACCACTGAGTCTATTTTGCCACAATAAAAAAACATGTATTATAATGTTGAACTGCCTCGTTTTTGCTTTTGATATTATTTTTTGTTGTTAAACTTAATATATTTTGAATTAATATTTTTTTATTTTGTTATTAAACTGTTTTCCAAAACTCTGTACCGTTTCCAAAATTTATATAAACCCTTTGTCCTAGTTTCCCGTTATTTACTATTTTTTATCTGTTTTATTTTTTTTTTCCTGTTTGTTGAACCAACAACAGTACACAGTTTAAAACCCTTAAAATTCAATACAGTTTCAATTATTGAACAAAAAATAGGGAATTTACCCAAATATTGGGTAAATCTTCCCCGATTTTCTAGGTTCGTTATTTGGTCAGTGGTTTATTTTGTAACTAAACGTGAGTAAAATTCTATCTTTCAAATAAACATAAGATAAACGATAATATAACGATAAACTAATGATGTGATGAAAAACATTATAGCATCAAATGATACAACACTTAAATTAATAATAAGTTTTTGTTTAATTCAACAATTAAAAATGCCATCGATAACATAAAACAAACATTTAAACAATCAAGGTTATTAATCAAAAGAGTCTAAAATAAAATAAACAGTTCAAAAATTAAAAAAAACTTTTCAATTGTATAGCCTTAACCAATTTATCTTCTCTCAATGCTTGTTTTACTCATTAGTACTTTTCATTTTTATCTGAAACACAACTTGGTGATTCTGTAAACATGGACATTCAATTATAAAGTTGTGTTTTATCTTTTTGGCAAAAAATGTGTTATGGTAATCAAAATTTTAATCCCAAGTTTGTTTTTTATATTTTTCAAGTAAATTAACGAGTTTAGGGAAATCTGCCCTTTTTAAAACTGCCTTTTCAAAATTTCGCCTTATTTCGCCTTTATTTTTCAATAAAATTTCAAGTCATTTGAATTTTTGTTGAATATTTATTTAAAACCCTTTTACAAAAATAAATCAATATGTATTATTGTATTTATTACAAAAATATATAATGTTTATAATTAATTTATATTTATTATCTGAGATGGTTTTTATATTAAATAAATAAAATATTTTAATATATAATTTTGGGACCTACATTGACCACCACCACCACCTCTTAAAATAGATTTATTTTTTCTATTTCGAATCATATTCAAATTAAAATTATAGTAAATAGGAAAATGGGATAATATTAGGTCTGGTTCCCGAATTCAAAAAATGCCGAAAATTCACCTCGAGTTAGTGGAAAACGAGTGAGACGGAGCATTGAAAAGAAGGCTCTGAAGACACACTCAAACAGTCTGTTTGTGCACCGTTTCACCCACTTTCCAAGTCCTCCCTTGGAGCGGATCCCCCCCTGACCCCCCCGCAAGCGGGGGGAACCACATCCGCGTCCACACAGTACGGACAAGGAAAGTGGGTGACATGGGGACGCACAAACAGTGGCTGAAAAGTGGACTTCCTTCAAAAAACACTCGCGGCAAATATTTTTTTTTGGTAAAGGTGGTGGTGGTCAATGTAGGTCCCTATAATTTTATTTAAATTCGAAAACTACATTATAATATAAATAATTATTAACAATATAATTATTATTATATGAATAACTGTGAATATATATAAACTGTTTTTCAAAAGTCGGTACTGAGGTGTCCCGATTTTTGCATTTATTTTGTTTATTATTTTTGGGAATCGTTTTTTTGTAATAAATTCGCTTATTTTTTCCAAGTAAAAAAGAGAAAAACAGTCTTCAAAAAATATTTTTTTACTTGAAGAATAATTAAGCATTAAAAAATTCCATATAAAATTTGAAGTAACGGGATTTTTGTTTGGGAAAAACACGTGATTGATCCCAAAAGTGCATTTTAGTACAGAAGCAAATCAATTTAATGTCAACCTTTTTCATTATCGAACATTTTATTAATTAATGAAATATTCACAAAACAAAAGCTTAGTTCGAAGATTAGTATGCTTAGTAGTGTTGTTACAATAACAATAAAAATAACAAAATTGTTTGATAACTTATCTTTGTTGGGTTTTTTGAAGTCGACATTCTTTTTGAGCATTTCAGTGAGAACATCTTTTTTAAAATATTCCATAACAAAACAATATTTTTATTTTGCATAAGTCTCTTGTGTTGCTCTTTGACAATTTTGACGTATGCATGTCAAATTTATCAAACATTTGCTGTAATTTTTTTGGTGTTTTTGGAACTCTTTATTTCATTATTTTTTATTCAGAAAAGATAACCACATGTTTGTTTTTAATTGAAAATGAAAAATCAACGAAAGTAATTATCAGTTAAAACTCGACACAAACAACACCATCC